CCCCAAAACCCCAAAACCCCAAAACCCCAAAACCCCTCCAAAGCCTTAAAATTGATCATATTTCTAAACTCCATCAAATCTCTTCCTCAGCTTTCGTATCTCCTCCTTCTCACCTGAAACAGATCTATTCCTCATACTACAGAATTATCCAAATCCCCACCTCAGGAAGTTAGCCTTGCCTGGAGAAAGACTTGCCGATCCTTCTATTACCTTGGAATAACATCCTTGCTCTCTAGACTGTAAGTTACAATTTTTACCTATCGATACTTGAAGGGTGGTAAGAATCAATATTTTGATCGTTTCTACTAGGATTTCGTAATTTTCGATACCGCTTGGTAATGCTCTTTGGTTTCAAATGAGGCATCTTTAGCTCTTCGGTTCTTTTCTTTTTTAAATATCTCTCCTGAGAGTTGTTCCTTTTGAAAAATGCCTGAGCTTTATCAACCTCAAAGATATATTTATCAGTGCTGTTGTTTAAATCTCTGATCTTGATAAAACTTAGGTTTGACTTTCCTGTGATATTTTTAGTGTTATATTTATTTTCCAACTGACCCACTTCTTCAATCCCTTTGGTGAACAAAGGAATCTCGATTCTTGAGGGCTAAAAATTACGAAAGAATCCTACCATCCATTCTGTTATGGGTCATCACAGGTTCGAACACTCTTGAGTATTTCCGAGGCCTCGAGAGTGAGCTATCGCTCACTCTGTTCAGAGCTGGATTCAATGAACAGTTTATTTTCTGCCCATTGAGTGAAGTTCTACTTTTATTCAATCTAATAGAAGTATTTCCTAAAAATTATTAAGGCTATTTACCTCTATACGATGGTCTGATGTCAGTAATTTGTTGTTGTAGCATTTTGAAAGAAGAGTCTCTTGTCTCATCTCATGATATCTCAAAGGAATTCTTGGTTGCTTGTGCTACAACTTAACATAACTAAATACCAATCCGATCACGATGCCGATTATAGATATCATTCTGGGGAAGTGCTTTTCTTCTTCTGGTTTTCTTTTTATTTTACTTCAATTTTTTCAATCTAGGAGTAAGGCTAAGCCTACCTCTTGATAATTCTTAAACCATTTATTTCTGTTCTGCTCTAACTTGTTCGTATCTGAAGGGAATTTTGGCTTTCTGGTCTCTAGTTTCTAAGGTAGTTTTATATGTCTTTATCAGTTTCAGAGAATTTTCACATGTGCTACTCAAAACTAACTTTGACACCTTATTCCACTTGGACTCCTCGAGAGGCTCTTTAGCATCAAAATCAATGAGAGGACCCTCAAACACAGGAGTTTTGATGAATAAATCATTTAAATTGTATTTCGTAACTTCTTTGATAGTACTGGGTAGTTTTAAATGGCTCTGCTGCCGCGCTTCCAACACCTTATTTAGGCAACATCGGCAAAGGCATTACATTCTTTCATTCATATTTCACCTCAACAGAACAGTCTCTACCTTCTTGATTACTGTGTAATGTTTTCAGGTCTGATGGCTTAAAGCTACGTCTTTTCTTCATGATTGAAGAATTAGGGCTGAGACCTAAAATTTACTTGTAATTTTTAGGAATACTGAATAAGCTTACTTTTGCAAGGCCCAGCTGCTAAAGGATCACTTGAATTGTCCATGAGAAAAATTTCTATATTAATTTTATTATCTTTCAGCCATGTATTTACAACTTGGGGTTTTGGGGTTTTGGGGTTTTGGGGTTTTGGGG